ATATTTACTCTGTGTGTGTGAGAGGGAGATCAATATGCATAAGTTCAGTAGTATGTATTCTTAACTTTTTCTTTAATTTTCATTAAAATTTTATTTTACTTGTTTTCTAATAATATGTCTAACGGCTCAAGTCTTTCTTAATAGACAAAAATATCCTTTTGAGCAAATCTTTCTGCTCAGCTCTGGTGCTGCTTTTTCTGCTACCCATTCTGTGGAGCTCAAATCCCATTCTATTCATGAATCCTTTTTTGATACCTGTAGTCACGTTAGGCTCTGCTCCATACCTTATACAGACAGTCTTGTAATGTAATTGTCTTTCTCTTGTGCCTCCCAACTGAGCTTTAGTCTCTTCCAGGACAGAAGAGGACATTGTTGAGGCCTTCACAATATTGTCTACCCAAGTGGGCCCTTGAGGGCAATGGTTTGCACTCCTAATGGGAGGTATCAGTAAATAATAGCTGAACAATATCTTGCTTTTACTATGTTTTTAGTTTTTCTGTATTTTGACGACTAGTGTGCATATAGTAGGTGTGTAGAAAGTAGATACATTTCTTTAACTGTTATTTGAGATGCAGGACAGAGTCTCCAGTGCCATTTTTTATAGCTTTTGATTTTTTTCTGACCTTCTGACCTTTCTAGGCCTTTTGATAAAATATCTTCTCCCCCCGAGCTTTCCTCTGAAGGAGAGGATGCTTCCTTTAGGTCATGATGCTAATATGTCTGTGCTAACATCTGAAATTCAAGTTCACTGTTTTTCTTCCCCCATCTCACTTAGCCTGTCTGTGTACATATGCCCGTGGACATTACACTTACAGACACATACAAATTTCTTTCTGATCACTGTGACTTTCTGAGCTCATGTCTTCAGAGGTCATTTTCCTGAGAGCTTGTGACTAATTCAGAATACAGAGGAGCTCTTAGATATCTTCTCGTACAAGAGAAGGAAGCAATTTGTGACCTAACAACAGGGTTAATGTCAGCTGGTCATAGTTTAGTGAGTTTAATTACTGGAATTTCTATATAATACCACCCCAAATGACATCTGGGTTGGAATGAACATGAGATTCCTTTTGGGTGAGCAAAATAAAACAGGCCATGCAAAACTCTGCTCTGTCTAATCCTTGTGCCTGATGCACACGGGCTTCAGTGACATTTCTGGAACTGATTGGTACTTAGCCAAGATGCACTTTTTAATAAACTGCAAGATGAAATTGGCATTAGCTACTTTAACAAGGAAGCAAAATATATAGTTGGAAAGTGAGAAAGAAAAATGCTTTAGTAAAAAGATCAAAGAGTTTTTCCTTGTTCACCCAGCTCATTCCCCAGATTAATTAATACCTATTTTGCCTCCAAGTAAATACAGGATCAAAATGGTAATGAAATGAATTCATTTTTGCAAACATTGTGAATGGGGCTAATTTCAAATTTGTTTTAATGAAGGCAAGTGTAAGCACTGACTGAATTGCAGGAAGCCCAATCTAGTACTGAAGGTGAGCTAATGCACGCCTTTCATTTCAAAGTGTGACCCATGAACCAGCTTCGTAGCATCATCTGGAAGCTTCTTAGCAATGCTGAGTTTTCAACCCTATACATAGATCTCCTGAATTCGCATCTACATTTAGCAAGACCCCCAAAAGACATCTGTGCACGTGAAAATTGGGAATTGCTGGCCCATGATGTTGCATTTCTGTTAGGGGCTTTCTCCTATAGAGTAACCAAAGAACCAGTCACCCGAGGGACATAAACTGAGGACCAGATTTGAGAGGTTTCCAGCCACACAGGGAGGAATGCACAGATGCATGCTGGATTCCTCAGTGCCAAACCAAAGAGTTTGCCATTTGCTCTGACTGTTTTATTGCCCTGAAACTATGCACTCAGCTTCTTGTGAGGCTTCCAACACACAATGAATCCACAGAAAACAATAAATAATGTAAAGGTTTTCTAAGGCGCTTGGCAGCAGAAGGAATTTTTAGTGGGGCTCAGGTTGAGATGGGGGTGGAGAAGAGGAAGAAATGGAATTTGGACATACAGCAGAAAGGAATTCCTAAACACTTTCCAAGTTTCATCACCTCAGCAGGTCAAAAAAGGAATTTGTATGTGACAGATTCTAGAATTTGCCCTTAAAAATTTCTGATGGCAGGACAGGCGAGGTGGCTCACGCCTGTAATCCCAGCACTTTGGGAGGCCAAGGCAGGTGGATTGCCTGAGGTCAGGAATTCAAGACCAGCCTGCTTAACAGAGTGAAATCTCATCTCTACTAAAAATACAAAAAATTAGCTGGGCGTGGTGGTGGGTGCCTGTAATTTCAGCTACTCGGGAGGCTGAGGCAGGAGAATTGCTTGACCCGGGAGGTGGAGGTGGCAGTGAGCTGAGATAGTGCCATCGCACTCCACCCCGGGCAATAAGAGCTAAACTCCGTCTCAAAAAAAAAAAAAAAAAAAAATCTGATGGTTGAGGGGATGAAAGTATATTTTGAGCAAAGGACTTGACACATTAGTTACTTTAGGTCCTACGTCTTGTGTGTTTTAGTGAGAAGTGAGTTGCTTCTGCCATCTTCAGTAAGATGTATTTTCATTACAGTCTCTTCATCCCGCCATTCAGTGTTTTCATTTGGGCCATAGACAGCTAAAATATTGGCCAATGAAGGAAAACAGATTTCCCAATGAATAGTCTATGCCATGAATAAATGAGATTAAAGGGATGCCTAAACTAATTCCAGGTTATTACAGTCTTCATCTCTAGCCTAATTATCTTTAGTCTCACTCCTGGTTTATGGACAGAAATTTAAAGCCAGTACATTTTATCATCTGTATCATTTAGTCCCCTTTTGACTGAAGCATTGTAATATTCTCTTTAATTTTCATGAGAATGAATTTCACCTTTTATGACATTCAAGAACAATTATGGTGTCTTTATGAAAAATGATATCACCCTGATACCAGCAATAAAATAACAATGTCCTAATGCCAATAAATGTATTAACCATATCAGTCATCTTTCAGCTTTTCCGGCTTTGCTTCGGAAACCACAGAAAACCTCAAGGTTTTTAATTTGTGAGCTCTGCAGAAGCAGTCACGGCACTTTACATCTTCCTTTGGCTGAATGCTCAGGAAATGGACCATAATTAAGTGACGATCCTGGTAACAGGCAGGGTTATTTGGATAATGCCTAAATCAGACTGAATTTTGCAGACTTTCATGTATGTGTGTATGTGAGGTGGGGCGGGAATTGGGAAATGTATCCTATCTGGTCTGGACCCAAGGAAGCTGGTGCTGTTTTATTCCTTATGTTTAAAGTCCTGCGTTGGGAGTCATCCTCTGGGAAACAGCCTGCTGAGACTTAGAATAGGCTAAATAATACTAGATTGGGGGGCTATGAATTTAGTGCTTTTTTTTTTTTTGGTGGGGGGGGAGTTTCGCTCTTTTCACCCAGGCTGGAGTGCAGTGGCGTGATCTTGGATCACCACAACCTCCGCCTCCCGGGTTCCAGTGATTCTCCTGCCTCACCCTCCCGAGTAGCTGGGATTACAGGCATGTGCCACCACACCTGGCTAATTTTTGTATTTTTAGTAGAGATGGGGTTTCCCCATGTTGGACAGACTGGTCTCGAACTCCTGACCTCAGGTGATCCGACAGCCTTGGCCTCCCAAAGTGCTGGGATTACAGGCGTGAGCCACCACACCTGGCCTAATGTAGTACTATTAGTCAGTTTACAGGGTTGCTTATGTGAATCAACCTTTATGGAGGGTTTATGCTTAGGATCATATCAGAAACCCTGCAGGATATCAAAGATATATAACACAAAGCTTTCTTTGAGTAGCTTGTATTTTTTAGGTTGGGGAGAATAAGTTTCCAGACAGCATATAATTAGAGAAAAAGCAAAAATGTAGAGTGTTCACTCCCAGTTAACATGGAGCCTGGTTTTTAGGATTCTAGCATGCTAGAGCTTATCTAGTTGTGATTTGAATTACAGAAACCAAGGACATTGGATCCAGACCCTCCAAACTGTTGATTTTCAGACAGGAAATCAGCATGGGCTTTGTTGGTCAGTAGAAGCTTCCGGCAGGAAGAGAACTTGAGTGGGTTTGTGAGGATGAGTGGGAAGTGTGTGAATAGAGAGACACCCGGGAAGTCATCCTACATCAGGCAGTCAGAATAATCGCAAAAGTGAGAGAAGCCTGGCATATATTTGGAAAAATGAGAGATCCTCCTGGTTGGGGAGATACCACACAGGTGATAAAGGTGATTGATAAAGATAGGGTCAGATATCAGAATAACTTGACTATAAAACAGGGGTATTTTAACTTGATCCTTTAAGCTCTGACACCCAGACACTTCCCCCATAGAAAATGATAATACAGATAATATTGTGACATGTGCCCGTTAGCTACTCAGAGATTTGCACAATTCTCCACATTTTCGATTTATAATTCTCTCTACCTGCCCTGCCCCAGCACCACTCTGGGTTGAAAATGGCGTATTGAAATCCAAGTAAATGAGATACCTCAAAAAACAGTAGGTGGAATTCATAGTTACATTATGTGAAAAGGTAAGCTCGAAAATTTCAGTATGTTTTTTAGTTCTGCAATTACTTTATTCAATGAAGTACTAAGGAGGCAACTTTAAGCTACAGGCTATAGGGTAAACTAAGTCAGATGGAGGCACTGCCTTTGAGAAGCTTACATTCTTTGAAGAGAGATGACTCATCAACTAGTAGTTATTACATAGTTTTGGAAGAACTGTAATGATGGAAGCGCAGGATGTGATGTGAGCTTTGTGAGGGGACTCTCATTAGGACTGGCCTTGACAGCTGACAAGCCTATCCACAGGAGGTGACATTTAGATTGAGAACTAAGGAGGCAGTGGTCTTACCCAAGTGAAGAGCCTGGGGTAGAGTGTTCAGGCAGAGGGGTATCCGGGTACACAAAGACTAAGAATTCATCATTGTTTTGGGGGCTGCTGCGGTAAGCAACAGGAAGTCAGTATGGAAGGAAGACTAGGAAATCGGTAACATTGTTTATTCACTGGACAAATGACTGAGTACACATTGGAGGCTGTTTGTCCTTATTAGGTGATGTTATTCTTTGCAAAAGGGTGATGGAGAATCCAGTAAGGAGGCCTGGAAACCAAAGGGCAAATTTATCACCTTTTTAGACGCGCCCACTAGTCACCAGAGGACGCGTCCCAGCAGGTAATTGTTGTTCAATCAGCCAACAACTGGGTTTGGAGGAGAAAGCCAAAGCATCCCCAGGGGGGTGGACTGCTTCCCTAAGGTGTGTCAGCGGGTTGACAGAGCACAAGCATTGCTTCTGGAGCAAATACTGAGCGTGGTTTTCAGAGAAAAGGTTTATCTTTGGGGTATAATTATTTGGCCCACTTAATAGACGTCTTGAAAAATTGGGCTCTCTCTTCTTTTTAGCAGAGCTTGAACAAAAGGAAACTTAAAATCAATTAGAGGGAAAGAGAAAACCTATTTCTGTCCTTTTGGAGACAAAAGCTGTAACACAATTGGTTAAAATTCAAGGGGAATCAGATCCTCCTGGGCGGTGGGGGAAATACTGCTGCAGGACCGCGGAGCCCTGGCTTCAAACGCAGGCTCCTGCTGCCATCTTGTGGCGAGAAGGCGCCCTCCGCCTCAGAACTAGCTGCACATTCCGAGCTGTTGTGCTTCTCATGGCTCCATCCGCAAGATGCTTTAAACAAATGCGAGCCAGAGAATCCACTAGGATATTTAACACTGGCCTGCCAGGAATTAATTTCTCTACTGACAGCATTGCCTTCTCCATCCTCCTCCTTTTGGAAAAGTCAAAATTTCATCCTTTCAGCGGTCTAACTGGGAGCCAGCCCAGGTTTGATGGAACCACGATTTGACCTTTTAAAGCATGTTGGAGGGTGATAGTATGGACCATTAGCCTTATTCTTCTCCTAAAGGAAGGTTTTGGTTTTTCTAGTGGAGGAACCTTTTACAATCTGGATGGAGGAAATGCTGAGATGCTCTGTAACATCAGGGAAGAATATTGCCATCTTTCTCCTCACCAGGCCTCCATTTCATCGTCCCCCCCCATATTTGAAAGGTTTTTTATGATCCAACAAATCCGTTTTTTTTAAATGCAATTAATTTATTGTTTATTTGGTATTCATCAAAGAGACTGCTGAGTGTCAATTTTGGTTTCTGGAAACTGAGAAATGACAAACACAGCCAGCCTGGGTTAATATCATTCCAGCCCAAAGCAAAGAAGTTGGATGTTTTGGCAGCTTGTGCAGTCTTATTGTGGATAAACAGGCAGTGTCTGTTAGGTTTGGAAATACTGAACAGAGGCTATGGGCTCCCACTCCCATATTTGAAGAGGCAACTTGGAGTCCCTGACCTAGATAGGCTGACTCCAGGTGACTGCAGGGTAAAAGCCTGACATATACTCTGCTCGCAGCAGCAGTCCTTTCAAAGCATGGCCAGTGCGGAGCTGTGAGGCTAGTAAACATCCGTGTGACAAGCCATCTGTTTGTTTAACATTTGGACACTAACACGAACCTGAACTTACCGACCTCTTCAGACCAGCCGATGGCTCCACGGATCTCTGGCATGGTCTGGTTCTTTATCCTTTTTCAAGGAGAGCCTGGGCAGACTGCTTTTTCCCCTTCTTTTTTCTTTCTTTTTTTAAAAGCTGACAGGAGAAAATAATCCATGGAATTAAAGCTGGCTTATGCTGGGCTGTCACCATCCCTGTGACAGATGATGGTATATGAGAAAGACTTAGGAATGAGCAGGCGGAAAAGAAACACAGTCATGAAGGGCGGGATCAGAGGGAGAGGCTGTGAATGTTCCTCCCCTAATCCTGCTTGAGGCTGGGCACGTTGAGAGAGAAATACAGGAAGATGTGATTTTAGACCTAAGCCTGGCAGTTTACTGTTGGCTTTGGGGCGGATGCTGAAGCTAGCGGGACTGATGCTGGTCAGAATTGGAGGGGTGGACCGCTCCACCGCCACAGACAATTTGATAAGTCTTCCACTAATTCTCTAAATATCTTTCTCACCATCAGGATCACTCCTGCGTCCTTCTTGTCCCCTTCTCTAATACCCAGATAATTCCAAACATGTTATTTGGGAAGGATACAAGTTAAGCCCTCAGTACAAATATGGCAGATAGAATACACCTGACACAGAGTAGGTGGTCAGGAATTATTTAACTTAGTAAATAAATTAAAGAATAGGTGCATGAATAAGTGATGAGACAAATAATTAACTAAATAAGTAAGGCAAGGGAACTAAGATTTATCGAACGCCTGATCAGGCCTCTCTTGTTCAACCCAAGTTATCTCAATACAAATGGGGCTATTCTAAGAATCCCCTTAGAGACATAGAATCAGAAGAGAAGGCTCAGGAACTAAGAGGAAGCTGTGTCCTCTCAAGGTCTTTCTCTTTCTCTGCGTGTCTGCTTTGTCTGCCTCTTTCTATAGCTGTCTTTCTCAATTTCCAGTCTACACATTTCCTGCCTGTTCATAAATTATGCCTGCCTATGACTTTAGCTTGCCATTGCACTAAAGCAGCCATTAACTTCCTTTTACTTTTTCTTTGTTGTTAACTATCTCAGCCTCTCCTTTTTTCTAAATTTATAATAAATTCCAAAGAGAAGAATTTGGTTGGCTCAGCTTGCTGATTTGTTTATTTGATTTTGACCCAGGCCAACCTGTCATGGTAGCTGACTGGTCTATGGATTGCCTGCTTTTGGCTCAGGTGACTACCCTGGTTTAGTCACTGTGGATGAGTGGGAGACGGGATCTCAGATCACAGGAATGGCAATTAGACAGGCTAAATAGCATTAGCGGGGACTACTGAGGGAGTTTTCCTTTGGAGGGTGTGTGGGTGGATGGGTAATGTAGTCATGTCTGGCAACCTTGGTAAAAAGTATTCTCTCATGTATTCTCTTACATAATCCTTACAATGATATTGTGAGGGTAGCAGCCTTGTCTTTGTTTTGTAGATGAGGAAACCAGGGCTCAGCTATTTGAAGAAACATGCTTCAGACTACAAGGCCATTGAATGACAGGTCCTGGATTTGATTTAAAGCTCAAGCTCTATCCCTAATTCTTCCTCCAAACTAGAGGGAATGGAATATAAATAATATCTGCAAAAATGCTTTTGGGTCTGACCTGGTCCAGGAGGTTAAGAGGCTGAGAACTCCTTTGAGGATTATTATTTGAGTACAGTTTCAAGGTGACTGACATCAACTCCCAAGTCCAACATGTAAGGTGACCTTGGGAAGGACTCCATATAGTCCTTTGTTGACTTTACAGCTGACAAGTAGAAAAAGGTCAGGAAAGGAGAGTGGATCTTCTGGTCACAGATCTTTAGGGATCATTTGGTCAGAGGCGTTTGAACCAGGGCAACTCCATCTTAAGTAGAAGCTGGTTAAAATGAGGCTGAAACCTACTGGGCTGGATTCCCAGATAGGCATTCTTAAGTCACAGGATGAGATAGGAGGTCAGCACAAGATACAGGTCATAAAGACCTTGCTGATAAAACAGCTTGCAGTAAAGAGGCCAGCCAAAACCCACCAAAACCAAGAGTGACCTCTGGTCATCCTCACTGCTACACTACCACCAGTGCCTTGACAGTTTATAAACGCCATGGCAACATCAGGAAGTTACCCTATGAGGTTTAAGAGGAAGCATGAATAATCTACCCCTTGTTCAGCATATATCATCAAAAAATAACCATAAAAATGGGCAGCCAGCAGCCCTTGGGGACTGCTCTGTTTGCGGAGTAGCCATTCTTTTATTCCTTTACTTTCCTGTATTTGCTTTCACTTTACATACTTGCTCTGAATTCTTTCTTACACAAGATCCAAGAACCCTCTCTTGGGGTCTGGATTGGGACCCCTTTCTGGTAACAGTTTGAGCTTAGTAGCATTCTGTGCCAAGGATGGTCATATGGCATGTGTTCAGTGGGACTAACAAGGCTGGAAAGAATTGAATGTGTTCATCAGATTTAAGCTCAGGAGGTCAGTGACCCAATGATTGTTGGAACAAGAATTGACGAGGTGGCAGGTAGTATATGGTGGGGGAGGAAAGAGGCCTAGAATAACATCAAGATATGTTCTTTTCTTATACAACTCCCCTTGTATATCCCTCACATTTTATCTCAAGTGCTTTAATTGCCATAATTGTTCAAAAATGCGTCTTTATGTACCTCTCATGGTAAGCAATTTATGCTTCCCATCCTTTGGTTGCATTGCTTCATTTATCACTAGATCCTGCTGATTACAATCATTTTCAATGTCCGTAAAACAGCCTGACTTTATTTTTCCTAATTTGCTTTCTGTGTCTGGTTTAGTAGGATGGCTCAATATATTGTAGATATTTAAACAAAAATGCTGACTCTTGTGTTTCTATAGCCTGCAGAAGTGCCTGGCATGAGTGCTCAACAAGTATTTGTTGAATGAATGAATACAATAAGTCTTTGGCCTAAAAACATAACATTCATTGCCAAAAATAAGACTTTGTGTTATTTTAAGATCATTATCCTTGCAACATTCCCGACTGGATTAAAAAAAAAGTCCATTCCATTTCTTTTTCAGGGTAAGCATGAGCACAGCAGGAAGAGAAATGTATCTTGATTTGCAATGTGCTGTCTTCACTGATGAGAGTTCAGTTTTTACCAATGTGGGAATTACTGAAGTTTTAGAAAGGGAGCTTTCAGAAGCATATATCTCAATTTGAAAGACTGAAGATTTCTAGTATCATACAGGGTAATTTCATAGCATTTTAGAATGGATCAAATAAGATTAAAATGAGGGCTTTGTAATGTAGAAGTCGCTAAGCAAATGTAAGGTATTAACAATATCAATGATAATGAAAACTTCAAGTAGGGAGATTTTGGGGGTATGTAGGACTTTGTGTCCCTCCAGTTAAAACATAGAGAGCTATAGTTTTATTCTGTCTACACTACATTGGCCTTTAACAGTGTTCTAGTTATCCTTGTGGTCACTACATAATGTTGCCCACATGCCAACCACTAGTAACCTACATAATTCCCCCAATAACCCTATGAATTAGATGTATACATAGTTACAGAAACACGTGAAGAGATTAGTTAACTTTACTAAGGTTGCAAATGGCATATTCTATTGCCTCTCCCATGCTAGGCAACCATCTAGGTGATGACACTATCTGAATACGCTCTGTAGTTAAGCCTTTAAAAGTCTCCTTTTTCAATCCAAGGAGGTCCCAGCTGCAATCATTGCAATTTAGAGGCTGCAAAGTTCCCCTTGTCACTTTCAGAGCTCTCAGGGATACATCAGTCATTTGGAAGCTTTGAAAATGTTTTTACGAACTGCCATCCTCTTTACCTACCGCCTGATATGTGTTCCCAGGTGGGCACTGTGCTCTTCTCCTTCTGAAAACACCAAATAAATCCTTTGAATCACTTCCTGAAATGATAGGTCTCTTTATCAGAATAAGCAAGAGCCCCCTGGCCCTATTAGCAAATGGCTTTTCCAAAAGTGCAAGCTGATATATAGCTGCTCGGGAGAATGGCCCACACTGATTAAGAAGAGCGAGTCCATTGTCACTCACGGAGGTGGCACTGAGTGGCAGTCCCCACAAGCTGCGCCTCTCACTCTGAAAAACAATCTTCCTGATATATAGGGATGCCTCATCTGGGATCTATTTTCAGGTGTCTAAAGTGACCCAGGTATGTGTCTTTCTTTTTGGCACTGTATTTTTTTCATTCAGTATTTCTGTACTGAAAAAGAGTGAAAATGTCAGGACCTTGCACAGATTGTACTGACTCGACCCTTGGAAGGCAACAGCATGCTCTCTTCCACATCATTACTTTTTATTACACTCTCTGTCACATCTCTGCAAAGGAGGGAGACGGGAGGCACCATGCATGACTTGTTCCCTGACTGAATGAGTCTGTGGCCTGGCCCTGCTTGATCACGTCCGGTGTGTTCATCATCCTCGCAAACACCTGAGCAGGTTCAGAGATGGATTTTCTCTCCATGGAGTAGCAGCCTTGGGGGTGGCTCACAGTCCTCTAAGAGCCGGATTGCAATTAATCATGCAAATGAGGGGGAGCAAGAGCTTGGATTAATGGAAACCCATTTCAGGGTTCTTCTTCACTACTGATTTCTTTCTTTTTTCTTCTTTTTCTTTCTTTCTTTTTTTTTTTTTTTGGGGGGGACACAGTTTCACTCTGTTGCCCAGACTGGAATGCAGTGGTGTGATCTCAGCTCACTGCAACCTCTGCCTCCTGAGTTCAAGTGATTCTCCTGCCTCAGCCTCTGGAATAGCTGGGATTATAGGCGAGCACCACCACACTCGGCTAATTTTTATATTTTTGGTAGAGACAGTTTCACCATGTTGGCCAGGCTGGTCTCGAACTCCTCACCTCAGGTGATCCGCCCCCCTCGGCCTCCCAAAGTGCTGGAATTACAGGTGTGCACCACCACGCCCAGCTAATTTTTGTATTTTTAGTAGAGATGGGGTTTCACCATGTTGGCCAGGCTGGTCTTGAACTCCTGATCTCAAGTGATCCACCCTCTTTGGCTTCTCAAAGTGCTGGGGTTACAGACATGAGCCCCGCACCTGGCTGACTACTGATTTTTCACCAGAGGAATTAACGAGGAGCAAAACAGTGATTTGAGCTTTTATCTGCTTTCCAACTCACTCCTTAAAAATGCAAATGAAGTCACAGGTCTGAGAGGGAAGTAGAAGGAACAGTGGAGAAGAGCAAAGGGGTTCGGGGTCACTGAGAGATACAGGTTCTGGTCAACCCCTGCAGACAGGTTGTGGCATGCCCTTCAATGAGCCGCCTGATTCATTCCTCAGTCTCTCTTCTGTGAAATGGAGCTAAAGTTACTGATAAATTGGTTTCTAATAACCACTTGTGGTGGATGAAAGGTTCTGAGAAGAGATACAATATTCTGGTCAAATATGAGTCTCAAAGTTGTCAGAGTATAATCTAAAAAGATAATTTGATTTAAAAGTAGCAACAGAAAGAGAAAAAGTGGCCTAGGATTTCTGGAATGAAAACGGAGCCAAGAGAAAGGAGCAGATTAGGAAGTTACTTGATTACGGTGGTTTTATTATTTGGTTAAGATTGTACTGACTCATTGGCCAGTCATCCCCTAGGGAGTGTGTTTGAAATTTATGGGACCATTTTGGTTATTACAATGATGAGAAAGCTCTTGGTGGATTAGAACAGAGATGCTAGAAACCCTTTGATGTGTGAGACAGGATGTGTGTCCCCTCTAAAACTCATCTTGAAATATGATTCCCAGTGTTGGAGGTGGGGCCTCATGGGAAGTACTTGGGTCAAGGAGCCAGATCCCTTATGAATGGCTTGGTGCCCACTCCATGATGATGAATGGATTCTTGCTGTGGTACTTCATGTGAGAGCTGGTTGTTTAAAAGAGCCTGGCACCTCCTTACTCTGTCTTGCTCCCTCTGTTGCCATGTGATACGCTGGCTCCCTTTCACCTTCGGCCACGATTGTAAGCCTCCTAAGCCCTCACCAGAAGCACATACCGGCACTATGCTTTGTGTGCAGCCTGCAGAGCCAAATACGCCTCTTTTATTTATTTATTTATTTATTTTTTATTTTTGGAGACGGAGTTTCACTCTTGTCACCCAGCTGGAGTGCAATGGTGCGATCTCGGCTCTCTGCAACCTCTGCCTCCTGGGTTCAAGTGATTCTCCTGCCTCAGCCTCCCAAGTAGCTGGGATTATAGGCGTGCACCACCACACCCAACTAATTTTTGTATGATTAGTTTCACCATATTGGCCAGGCTGCTCTCAGACTCCTGACCTCAGCTGATCCACCTGCCTTGGGCTCTCAAAGTACTTGGATTATAGGCGTGAGCCACCACACCTGGCCAAGTGTCTTTTCTTTATAAATTACCCAGCCTCAGGTATTCCTTTATTCCTCAGCAATGCAAATGGACTAACACAATCTGCACCTAGGCATTTATTAAATGGAAAAATGTATTTACCATTATCTAGGCCTGGGAATGAACTATGTTTTATATCAGCACAATACATTTTTTGGGTACAGTTTTAACATAGTACTCTGAATTTTTTAAGAACGCAACCACTGCATACATTGAGAGAACATTACCTTTATCTTACTCAGAACATCATCAGGATTTGTTCATTTCAGAAAGTTGCATCACCAATAGCAACACCACTCCTGGTGTGTTAGTTGCTAATATTACAGAGTTGTGGGTCATCTGGATCATAACCTTGGGATTCTGCATAGAGGCACGAGCTTATGCTTATTTCACTTAATCTCCCCGTGTTATCACCTCCAGCTCTTACTTTCTGAATTGCAAATGATTTTATTATAAATTACTTTTCTTTTTATTTCTCTTTCATATTATAGTTAAGCCATTTTTATTGATTCTTAAAAACATGAGGTTTTATTACCTCTAAATTTCATTTCAGGGTAATGTAAGCATATGAAGT